TAAGTCAGAGAAAGACAAATACCATATGATTTCACTTATGTGTAGAGTCTAAAAAACAAAACAAATGAACAAACAAACAAAGCTGAAACAGACCCATAAATACAGAGAACAAAGTGATGGTTGCCAGAGGGAAAGGGGTGGGAAGATGAGCAAAATGGGTGAAGGGGAGTGGGTGATACAGGCTTCCAGTTATGGAATGAATATCACAGGGATAATTTATAATGAACTTATCCATTCATCTATTCGATGGACATATTGGATATATTAGGATCACTTTTTTTTCCAAGTCTATTCATTTACGCAATCTCTACATCTAATGTTGGGCTTTAACTCATGACTGTGAGATCAAGAGTCGCATGCTCTTCCGACTGAAGCAGCCAGATGCCCCTACTCTGTTCACTTTTTAAAAGTTGTTTTTACCTGTTCTTGTTTCAAGAGAACCACTAACCTATTTCAGCCTGTATCTATTCCCTAGAACACAAGGATGGTTATACTTTAGGATAACTTCTACATTACATCTTACTCTGTTTTGCTGCTTGCCTAGACATTGATTAAAAAAAAAAAGGCATGGATCAGTATTTTCTAAAACTTGCATAACCGTGAGAATCATCTGCAGCAGTGTGAAAAACAATAAAAATCAATACAGCATAAGGAATATAGTCAATGATATTATAATAGTGTTGTATGGTGACAGATGGTAGCTATCCTTATGAGCAGAGCAAAAGACTGACTTGTCAAATCACTATGTTGTGCACCTGAAACTAATGTAACATCGTGTCAACTTATACTTCAATTAAAAAAAAAAAGGTGAACATAGTATACTAAGAAAACAGTGATGGGTGTGTAGAGTGCTGGTTTTCCGCATCTATGGCATTGGCACTCATGAAAAGTCGGTACAATTCCTGGTAGATCTGAGTGTATTTGTTTCCTAGGGCTGCCATAACAAATTCCTGCAAACTTGGTGGCTTAAAACAACAGAAATTTATTCTTTCTCAATTTTGGGGTCAGAAGTTTAAAATCAAGTATTGGCAGGGCTGTGCTCCCTCTGAAGTTTCTAGGGGAGACTCCTTCCCTGCCTCTTCCAGCTTCTGGTGGCTCCATGTGGTCTTGATTTGGGCCTGCACATATTCCAATCTCTGCATCTGTCTATTCACGTGGCCCTCTTTCCCAGGTGTGTTTTCTCTCCTTCTGTCCCTTGTAAGGACATCATTGGACTTAGGGCCCACTGGGTTAATCCAGGGTGATCTCATCCAGAGATTCTTAACTTAATCACACTGCAAAGGCCCTTTCTCTAGGAAGAGGTCACATTCACAAGTACCAGGGTACAGGACTTGGACATCTCTTTTCGGCAAGGGGTGGGGGGGAGGAATGGGTTCACAATTCAACCTACTACTCCAAGTAATTTAAAATTGGTGAGCAGGCCCATATGATGCTCCTACCCACATTGGTATATTTAGAGGGTGTTTTTAATATAAATGCTCTTAGTTCAATGTTCCTCAGAATGAGAGATGTTTATTTATGAATGAATTTACTCCTCTGAGTCATGTATATTTTTAGAAGCATGACTCTGTCATTTCAAAATAAGACATGGTCTTAAAAGGCTACATGTAGTAGACAAAACCACATTCAGACAATTGTGACATTGCAAAAATTATTTTGCACCATTTTCAGAAAAAATTTCTAAGCACTAAGATAGATATGTCTATTATAAGAAGAGCAATATGGAGGATACTAAACTATTTTAGTGATTTCTCCTGATATTCCCCTTGACAAGTGTCAATGAATTAAGTTTTATTGTAATTAGAGTTTTAATAGAATAGTTTGTTTTCCCAGGGCAGAAGGCAAGGAATAGCTGATATTGCCAGGCTATATGAAGTAGCTATTAGAAACAGTAATAGCTATTAGAAACAGAAACATAGATATATGATGAGGAGTCTGTAGTTAATTAATGAACATTGGGCACTTATAGTCACAGGAAAAAAAATAGTACTTTAGGATAGGTATAAGGACAGGATAGATACATAAAGCAGTATGGGGTGGGAACCACAGTAATAAACAAAGGAAAAAAATTAGTGATTGCTGCATAACTGGGAAAACCAAAGGAGAAGATCTAAACAGAAGCAGTTCCTTAAGTTATATCCACCAGAGGTTTCACAAATTCTTTAGTGAGTAGAGACTGGCATTAATAGAGGAACTTAATAGTATTTGTAGAAATTTATCGGTGTATTTATTTATTTATTTATTTAAAGATTTTATTTATTTATCTGAGACAGAGAGAATGAGAGAGACAGAGAGCACATGAGAGGGGGGAGGGTCAGAGGGAGAAGCAGGCTCCTCGCCGAGCAGGGAGCCCGATGCGGGACTCGATCCTGGGACTCCAGGATCATGACCTGAGCCGAAGGCAGTCGCTTAACCAACTGAGCCACCCAGGCGCCCCATCGGTGTATTTAAATATACTTCTATTTTGGTTAACTTTTAAAAGTGTATGGTGTCCATTCCTCAGAGTGGGTTCAGTTCTTAAGAACTAAAAATCCTCTGTTAAACATTCCCAGCTATTCATTAAAAGAGAAGAGAAAGAGAGATCAAGAATGACATCTATCCATCGATAGATGAATGGATAAACAAGATGTGGTATATATATGTACAATGGAATATTAAGCAGCCATCAAAAGGAATGAGATCTTGCCATTTGCAACCACGTGGATGGAACTGGAGGGTATTATGTTGAGCGAAATAAGTCAAACAGAGAAAGACATGTATCATATGACCTCACTGATATGAGGAATTCTTAATCGCAGGAAACAAACTGAGGGTTATTGGAGTGGGGGGTGGGGTGGGAGGGATGGGGTGACTGGGTGATAGACATTGGGGAGGGTATGTGCTCTGGTAAGCGCTGTGAATTGTGCAAGACTGTTGAATCACAGACCTGTACCTCTGAAACAAATAATACAATATATGTTAAAAAAAAGAAGAAGAAGAAGAAGATAGCAGGAGGGGAAGGATGAAGGGGGGCAAATTGGAGGGGGAGACGAACCATGAGAGACGATGGACTCTGAAAAACAAACTGGGGGTTCTAGAAGGGAGTGGGGGGGAGGATGGGTTAGCCTGGTGATGGGTATTAAAGAGGGCACGTTCTGCATGGAGCACTAGGTGTTATCCACAAACAATGAATCATGGAACACTACATCAAAAACTAATGATGAGGGCGCCTGGGTGGCTCAGTTGGTTAAGTGACTGCCTTCGGCTCAGGTCATGATCCTGGAGTCCCTGGATCGAGTCCCGCATAGGTCTCCCTGCTCGGCAGGGAGTCTGCTTCTCCCTCTGACCCTCCCCCCTCTCATGTACTTGCTCTCTCTCATTCTCTCTCTCTCAAATAAATAAATAAAATCTTTAAAAAAAAAACTAATGATGTAAGGTATGGTGATTAACATAACAATAAAAAATTAAAAAAAAAAAAAAGAATGACATCTAAACTGGCTAGACCCAAATACAACTTTAGTCAAGATCCTGGTTCCAAGGATCAGCAGACTGGGATTAAGCAGCAACCTTATACAATGGGACTTGGACAAGACTTGCTTCTATCAGAATATGCCATTTGCCTTTATAAAACAAACTCTAGCCTTTCTGATCATTTAAATGTCTGCACTGCATCTGCAACTGTACTGGCAACACAGCTCAAAAATGAGTTCTTAAAAAGATGACAGATTTCAAAAGGGAGAATCTAAATCCATCAAGTTCATCTGCCTGTCTCTCTCTGTCCAAAGTGGCCATAGATGCAAACTTCCGTTTTTGCAATAATAGCCAGTGAAACACTAATACACCATCGAATCTTCATTATTGACTTGCAAATTCTGCTAAACATAATAACATATTTATAAGCAAATGAACTTTCAGTGCTGGATAGTTATTGTTTAGATTTGTTGACTTTTTTGACCGATCAGGCTACTATCCCTTCTTTCATTTAATTTCACTGTGGCTTTTTTGTTTGCTTTCTCTAACATTTGAAACATAGATAGCGCAAGTCCAGCCTTCACATTACAAAGGAAAGCTTGGGTAAATTCATCCTGTATATTCTTTTGTACAACCTCTACTAATAAATCCAGGAGTGAAATATATCTAGGTATATCTCAACGTAAAAAGGGACACTACTTGGGGCACCTGGGTGCCTCAGTCAGTGGAGCATATGACTTTTGATCTTGGGGTCATGAGTTCAAGCCCCATGTGGGGTCTAGAGATGGTTTAGAAAAAAGGGGGACACTACTTTTTGCTTTTCAAAGAAAAATTCATAAGTGGCATATACTTAAATTCTAATCATTCAAGCAAAAATGTTAGAAAGCCCTCCTACTCCCCAGCCTCTGTTAACTGAATCATAAACAGAATTTCAAGAAGGAAGAACCATTCCTTTGTGTCTAATCTATTAATAGAGAGGAAGTGGTTGAGTCTAATAAATTTTGTTATGGATTCCTTAATCTAGGCAATGACTATAAATTCATGCATTTAATTTGAACAGTGATAATTAGGTTAATTTCCAGATGACTCATTTGGCCACTGGTGTTCCAGCTGGAGTGGGTCACATGCTGCCTTCCCACTGAAATCACTGGAAATCTTGAGTTAAGATCAAGGCTCCTTTTCCCTCTCTGACCTTTCTTCACAATGCACAGTGGGGTCCCAGTTTCTGAGCTCAGAATGTTCAGATTTGCTCCACTGTGCCCATGGGGTTACCACTTGCAGACAACCTACATGCAGGTATTCACTGGAGATGCTGCAACAAGCCCATTGGAATTCACTTCTTGGATTCTAGCTTTCAGGTGGTTTCCTAATCCAGATGCCAAATTTCAGAAAATCTTATGTCTGGCTGACTCATGGAGGATCCAGTGAATAGAGAGAGAATCCCAGCAGGGTTGAGGGGCAGTGCTCATTTGGCCCCTAGAAGTCTTCCAGAGGCTTGATTTCCTCTAGTGATGTACTTTGAGAACCGAACTAAAGAAGAGATCTCTTACCTTGACAGTCATGTCTGCGCTGGATGTTTCTGTGGCATCTGAGGCTGCCTCATCTCCCTTTAGCAGCATACTCTCCCACCCGACCCCTGAAAAAAACAAAAACAAAAACAAAAGTGCCATTTGAGCCAAGTGCATTCAGCTGTCATGGATAGACACCTAACTGACATTTTGTAGGTTCTAATCCCATGTGTGTTTTAAAGGAAACCAATGTTGCTCCACAGTTTACCTACTGGGTAAGCATCTTTTCAAAAGTGTGGCCAGTCAATACCTCCTTTGTTTTTCTCTAATCTCCAACTTTGGAGTCCATTGTCCAAATCCGGTACCTTATAGACCGTTCCATTCCCAGGCCAGAGTGGAGAAGAGGTTGGAATGAACTCTTCCAGAATCCAGCCCTCCTACTGAGGTCTTATTGGGGGCTTAAAGTGAATCCCAGGACACTGAAACACCCACATCTGAATCTATTCAACACAGAACCAACTCCAGATTATTCATTGCCCTCCATTCCACACACGTACTGGAAATGACTGAGAGTTTGTATTCACTTTTAAAATGTATATATGTTTTCTCTCCAAGTCTTGATAAATGTTAGTGTTCTTTTTCTTCTTCAGCTGCCAAATAATCTCCAAGAGTAGACACATTGCAAGATACAGGTTTTGCTCTCTTCACCTCAAAAAGGAGATCAGGGCTTGGTGTTCAGAAATACCCATGAACACAGTATTGTCTAACTACACCAGATCAGCTGCAACTATGTATGTGAATTGAGGTGGAATGGTCTATATTAGAGAAAAGTATGAAGTAATGACAAGTATATATATATATATATATTTTAAAAAGATTTTATTTATTCATTTATTTAACAGAGAGGGAGAGAGCACAAGCAGGGGGAGCAGCAGAGGGAGAGGGACAAGCAGACTCCCCACTGAGCAGGGAGCCCAATGCAGAACTCAATCCCAGGACCCTGGGATCATGACTGAGCCGAAAACAGACGCTTAACCGACTGTTTAGCCACCCAGGTGCCCCGACATTTATTGCAGATAAAGTCATCTTCTTAAAAGCTAAAAAAGTAACACTGAGTAAAGTTTTGAAGGGACAACTTTAACCAGGAGATACAAATTTCATAATTGGTGTAATAACTGCCTTCTGGGATATGAATGCTCATAGCCTAAAGTATTAAAAAGATTGTCTTCTTAAATAGGTTAAAATTAGCTGTGTAATATCTGTTTTCATTGTTGATTTCCTTAACAAATAATTTTGTCTAAGGGCAATATTCATCCTGGACCTGTGTGAATAGTCCAAATTTGAAAATCTTAATTATCTATTATTACGTTAAGTCAGGATTGGCAAACACTTTCTGTGCCACACAGTAAATATTTTAGGCTTTGTGGTCATGCCCTTTCTGTTGCAACTTCTCAAGCTGCCATTGTAGAGCAAAACAGACAACACATAAATAGCCAACAGCCGACATATAAACAAATGGGCATGGCTGAGTTCCAGTAAAACTTTATTTACAAAAACAGGCACTGGGCCAGATTTGGCCCATAAGATGTACTAGACCAGATGGATAGTGATGATGGTGGCGCCACATTGTGAATGTATTTAATGCACAGAACCATGCACTTAAAAATGGTTACAATGCAAATTTTATGTTATATATATTTTACCACAATAAAAAAATGATTTTGCTAGGCAATATTCAGATTTTCAATTTAACTGATTCTGTAATTACCCACTGAGTTGGAATACCATTACTTACTTATTTCTAAAATGTTTGATATTTAGGTCATTTCTAATTTCTCATCAGTATAGATAATGCTAAAAGGAGTACCTCTTTGTCTAAATGCTTTTCTTCTCAAGAATAATATCCCTCAAAATGATTCCTAAGCAAAAAGTATGCATACTTTTAAGGCTAATGGCATGTGTTCTCATATTGCTTTGTAAAACAATGATGCCAATTTTACAACCACCAATAATGCGTAATGTAATAATTTTGCTATCACTGTAACTTGCTTGGTAGTGTTATCATTAAACAAATTGTGTGGTGGTGGGGAATGATTTCTTTAGCAAGTTGTAGGTACATAAAATATTCATTATAGTATTCCACATATTTCTGTGTATGGTATTGTAATGATTTTTGTGTCAATTTGTATTAATGCAATAAAAATGATATAATAATTTTTTAGAAGATACTTTATCAGCTTCTGTTCTAAATCAAGAAACCAGAAACATGAACAAGAAACACTGTTATACTCCAGCATTTCTGTAAAGACCAACTGGACAAAACAGATGGTGAAACAGAAACAATTTTTGTATGACACTTTTAAAAAACTAATATGAGATTAATTCAATTTTAGTATTTTAGCATCGATTACATTATTTTATATTCTGGATCCCCGAGAGCCTCATTTTACAGGACGTATGCACAATGGATTACTCAAGATCCATGCATTCAATTTATTGCAAGTTGCAAATAGTTGTCTCTCACTAGGTTGTAGAAATTGGGTCAGTTTGGTGAGCTGCCCTACAGTTTCATCTAGAGAAATTGCTACAAGGAGGTTGTCAGCTTTTTGTTAAAAACATGTTTCTGGGAGAGCAATCTTTGCTCCTACATGAATGGATTATTTCCCTGACACATCTTGCATTCAACAGAATAATAGCTCCTCCTGGTTTAAGACACTGTTGGCCCCTATTGGATCTGGCTGGCAGAGAGACACAGATGTTGGACATGATGGACAATTATATGATATTCACTTTATAGAATATTTTGAATTAACATTCAGCAAATATTCATTCCCCTCCTTTCCCACTGTGGGAGAAATTTTCTTCCCTGTCCCACTGATGTTTCCTCTGGCCAGTGGGATGTTAGTGGACATAATGCAATCAAAGGTTTGAAATGGGCTTGTGTGGTGGTGCTTGCCCTCTTGCATTTCTGCTATAGCATGAGAAAGACATGCTCCAGTTGGCCTGCAAGGGACTGAGAGTCATGGGGAGCAGACCTGAACCCCATCAGCACCTTGGAGCCAAGCCAAGTCTTGATCAGCCAACCCCTAGCCCAGCTGCGCATGCATGACAATAAAAGCTATTAAGTTTGGGGATGATATGTCAAGCAGCATTATTGTAATAGTAACTAATAGATACAATCTATAAGCAAAATTATACATGAAAGTCATTTTGGATAAAGCACATTTATCTTTATGCAAGTGTAATTCCCTTTGTTACATAGAAATCTCAGTTACAAGTATTCATTCCCATCTCTATCTACCTATCTATATATATAGATATAGATATGTATAGATAGAAAATATTTATATATATATATTTTTAAGTAAGCTCTACACCCAACATGGGACTTGAACTCTCAACCCTGAGATCAGGAGTTGCATGTTCTAATGACTGAGCCAGCCAGGTGCCCCCGTATCTCTATATATTATACCATGTGGGGAAGAATCTTTTCTCTGCTACAATCCTTTCATAAGCAATACAATCTTTATTAAAGGATATATGGCCCTAAGAAAGAGACATAAGACATATTTTATTCTCAAAATTTTAGCCTGCAATCAAGAAAACACCTTTTTGTTTGTTTGTTTGTTTCTTAAGTAATCTCCACACCCAACATGGGGCTTGAACTCACTACACTGAGATCAAGAGTTGCATGCTCTACCAACTGAGCCAGCCAGGCACCCCAAGGAAACAGTTTAAATTAGATAACCTATCATTTCATGGCAAGAGTGAGAGAAAATAGACCTAACATTTTAATTTGAAAATGTTATTAATCCTAATAATAAGTTGTGAGGACAGGAAAATGTTATCTTAAAAGTTAGAGGCAAAATTCCTTCCAGGGAGAAAACTGAGTTTTGGATGTGATGGGTCCTACATCGTGGAAGTAGGAGAAAAAGGAGGAGGTCCATTCAGAAGAAGGAGAGAACCTGAAAGAAGCTGGGATGAGAATTGGCAGTAAGAAATCTCCAAGGGCAATAAAAGGGACTCTTGAGAACCATGATGTTTAAACATCGATTTTAAATTTTTTATCATGCTGTCTCATGATGTAATGCTCCCCTCAGTCTTATACCTTGAGTGAAGATCTCTTCTACACAATTGTCTTGTGTTGGTGTTGTTTGGTGGAAACAGAATGAGGACATCAGTGTAGAGAGAAGAGAAAGGCCATGTGCACATAGGAGCTCCCTGCAAAATTGGAATCTGAGGAGGACATAATGATGAGAATCTGGGACAGGGTATTAGACCCAAATATACACAACAGAGCCATGGGTCAATTTTATTTGAACACCAAAGGGCAGCAGACCCTTTCATCCTGAGGACTTGGAGAAGCAAGGTGATTGACACTTCTAATAAGAGGATGCTCATACCTATAAAAATGCGACTTCTATTTCCACAATGGTGATTTCCATACCACCAATGTGCATTGCACCACAAGTAGGCAGGGGGATAGTTTGAAATGCTTGTTGGAGATCCTTCTGCTCTAGGATTTTATTAATGACTGTCAACATTTGCTTTCATGTCCAAGTTCCTGAGATGAATTTCCACTCAACTAAGGTCCGTATTTATAACAATTGCACACACATTTAACAGGTCACATGTGTAACTGCAAAAGACAACACATTCCAGACTTACATATTTCATTATGAGTCAGTTATGTAAGCACAATCACCTCTGATTTCAGGGAAATAACCTATTTAAAGAATTTGACCTAAGAATTTAGATAATTGACAATGATTGATCGATTTATACTACTTTACATTTATATTTCTACACACTCTACTTCCAAATAACTTTTTTTCTCTTGTAACCCTTTTCCCCTTGCTCAAGCTCTTATTTATAATTTCTTTGATAAGAGAGAGCATATTACATATTGTTTCTATAATCCCTAGATTAAAATAACATCTTTCTCCCAGAGGAGAACAGGTTTGCATTTCCCAGTAGTGGGAAAAATTGAGACCTGTCTACTTGTAGCTGAGGTATGTTTATAAGTCCCCCATCAGGGACAGTTGTACAAAAATCTTTCAGGAATAAGTAAAATCAGCCAACCAATTGTTGCTTTTTATATATCTCTTCACTTAGCCACAAGTCAGATGAAGAAATCTGTTAGCTCGAGCTCCCAGTTCCTTAGCACCCACATGTCTGGTCTCCATACACAAGATGCACTCTACTAACTGGCATGGCTCCTCTCTTTGATTTCTGTTGGGAACAGCGTATGTGCCATTGACAGGGCAGTAGAAGTAGAAGGAAGGAGGCTAAGCTCTGGGCCTGGCTGGAGAAGTCAAGGGCACACATGATTATCTGCAAGGTGAGGGATTTGGTCTGGTAGGAGGGTAGCCATGAGGGCTTGAGTATAGTAACCTGGAGACAACATGGCTTTTGTGTTTGAACAAAGGGAGACAGGACTAGGCTGAACAAAGAAGAGGATGAGCTGCTAAGAAGGCTTGTTGGGGAAGCAACCAATAGAACTGCAGAGAATACTGGGTAATTTCCTTATTTCCGATTCTGGTTAGGACTAAAAAATAAATAAAAGTAAAAATACAAGGTCAGAGACCTAGAGGAAGAGGGTAGCACTGTAGAGGACGGTGCTATCTATACCTAGATCCCCTGAGACCACTGTGTGTTGCTAGATAAAAGCAGACTAAGAAAGAAGGACAAGTCGATATGGACCCTTATGTACAACACAGTGGACCTTTGCTCTAGCTCATCTGTCCACACAGATTTCAGATAAATTGTTGGACAAAGTGGGTCATTAGTGCTGCTCACCAAATATTTCCAGTTCCTTCCTCTGGTGGACACATAACAGAATTTCACTTCCTGGCCTCCTTAGAATTGGTGGTCCTGTGACTAGTTCTGGCTGACGAGTGTGGGCAGCAGAGGCATCCATCACTTCTAGGCTGGAGCATGCAGGACACTCCAGAGCACCCTCTCCTCTACCACAGTGAATGGTAATGTTCCAGATAGTGTGATTCTATTAGCCTGAGTCCCACGGTGAGGATAACACAAAGCAGAGACACAGCCAACCCACAGCGGCCATGTAGGATGAGTGAGAACTAAACCTTTATTGTTTTAAGACATGTGAATTGGGAGTTGTTTATTACAGTAGCAGAACCTAGCCCAGCCTAAGGAGAGGAAGGGGTCCTTCCAGACTTGCCTTTCCCATCAACCTCTAGTTCCCATCATAGAGAGTTCTTTAGGCAAATCTGTGTTCTATTCCCTAAATCAATCCTGCCATTTAAATTTTGTGTCCACAACCAGCTATAATGATCCATACTTTCTACTTTTTTGGAGCCAATCTGTTTCCATTATGCTGAGTGCTTATTGCATAGGTTAGTTGCATCTCATGAAGGCTTTATGTCCTAAAGGCAAAAGGCCTCATCCTGCACAGTCACAACTGCTCTTGAAAATTTCTTAAATCTCCCATACAGTCCAAAATAGCACCATGCTTCAGAAAACCCAACAGAGGCACATTTTGTTCTAGCTTTGGAACAGTCCATTTCCTTTGTTAAGTACCAGATGATGCTGTTGGCTTGTGCGAAGGATCATGGACAAAAAATACAGATCTGGAAACTGTAGAATTTCTCGGGGTTTGGAGATGCTGAGACTGAGAGATAGAAGGAGAGACCAGCTGTGGGACAGCAGATTAACAACTGCTTTGTCATCCTCACGCTGGGGTGTACCATTTAGAGTGTTTTTGGCTGCAGGTAACAGAAAGCCGACTTAATAGATGACTAAACAATAGAGGATTGAGTGACTCATGGAACAAGAAGTCTCAAGGTAGTGTGGTACCAGAGGTGTTGGTGAATTCAGTGGCTCCATGGTCTCAGCCTCTTGGTCCCAGTTTGACCTCTCTGCCATTCTCTTGATTTTCTGCCATGGTCCCAAGATGAACATAGCAGTTCCATGTGTCATGAAAACATCCAGAGGCAGGAAAAGGGAGGAGTAAATGCACTTCCACAAAAGCACCCTCCCCACACACCCGAAGTCTCACTGGTCAAACACGTAGCATTAGTCCATCTCTAAACCAGTTGTAGAAAAAGCGAATGGAACTCTCAAAATTGGCTTGGGGTTAATTAATCAGAATTTACCCCCTGGGTCAGCATTCTCTTAGCACACAGCCACTTGGAGGATAAACAAAGGAACAAAACAGGATCTTGGCCAGCAAAAAGAAGGGGACAGGTTGATGGCTTTCAGACAAGCAAATAGTAGGGTCTGATGGACATGCACATAGGTTGGAATGTCAGCAGAATCCCTGATATTTTTTAAATGTCTATTTTTCTCTTATTATTTTAGCTAGAAATATACACTCAAATTCACAGAAGTAAAATACACAGGTGATGCCAGTACTCAGCCTTGCTTTCTAGTGCCAGCTCCTTGGTGAGGTGTCCAGAGTGACATCACCACCTCCTCCCTCCACTGTGAACTCACAGCCCTGATCATTAGTACCACTTTTTGGGGCACTCATTGGGGCCTGAGCAGGGAAAGCCCTTAAGTGTGTCTGGCTGACAGCACTGGCTCATCAATGATGCCTGAGAGGGCCCTTATCAACTAGCTTGTAAGCACTTGTGGGCAGGGACTTGGCCTGATACCCAGTTAGCCTCCCCAGGTATCAGTTAAATGAGAAGTGTGAGTTTTGGGCAGCCAGGTTGGAGGGATCAGAGCTTCAGAGTGGGGCATGGGGTGAGAGTAGAGAGTGCTTCAAGGAGGATGAGGGACGCTGGAGGATAGGGTGTGGAGGTCATTAGAAAGAGCACCACTGCTAGGCTAATTCACTCTAGATGCTAAAGAAATAAACAAGCTGTCATTGGTCCTGTCTTTCCAAGCCAGGCAAGGCCTGGTGGCCCTAGTCACTTGCCGGCAAACCCAGATATAGGGAACATGTGGAGGTGTAGTCACCGGACATAAAACATCTGGGTGGTAGGACTCTGAGCACTTCGAGTGATCTCTATACCCAATGTAGGGCTTGAACTTACAACCCCAAGATCAAGAGTTGCCCACTCCACTGACTGAGCCAGCCAGGCTCCCTAAGGTCTCTGAGTACTTTGAAGACAGGGCTGTCCATTCACCAGCCCCACCCAGGCCCACCTTACCCTCAATCAGCCCAGTGAGGGCCGGCATGTAGTGGGAGCTCATTAAATGTTCCCCAGGTTGAATTGGAGTTGAAGGGGTCTGAAGCTGACTGAGCTGCTTTCTCATCAGGATAGGAAGCTCCTCTACAATGTCCTCAGCCTCTATGTGGTAAGGGAGGTTCCCTCTTTTCCTAGGCACCTTCCTTACCACCACCCAAGGTCATGCTGATTGGACATCTGGAATGTCTTAAGAATCACTGAGCCACAAACAGATTGGGGAAAATAGAGCCCAGATGATGACCTACATCGCCTGGCTTTAAGGAGAGAACAGAGGACACAGTAGAGTCCCCGAGTGCTAGGAGATTGCCCCTCTTGTTTGTGGGGACTTTGGTGGATGGAGCCTGCTCAGAGGCAGCCAATCTTCCTATCCATCCTGGGTATTCTCCTCATCACACATCTGCCTCAGCCCTCACCAGCCTACTGATCCACACATGGCCCTGGAACTTCGAGGAAGTCTAGGGTCCAGCCTTCCATGTTTTCCAGAGAGAACTGAGACCTCAGACAGAAAAGAGTGGCCAGGATCTCCCCGAAAGTCGCTGCTGAGCTGGAATGAGAAAAGACAAGATTGCCTGATTTCCTAGACCAGGGTTCTTCCTGGGGCCCAAATTGGGTCAACCCATTTTACAGACAAAAGATCAGCCCACTGTGAAAGCATTTTGCCTGATCACAATGAAAAGAATAGGGCTAGGGTCTGGGTCCCACCTCTCTCTTCTTCACCCAAGTCTCGGCACAGAGTGTTTTGGGATGGAGACTCACTCAGATATTTCTCTTCTTGTAATTGCCTTTGGTTATCCTTGGGTTTTAAAAATCTCACTTGGTTCTTGAAGGAGTTCTCAGAAGGGTGGTCATTAAAACTTAGCGGAATTTCAGAACAATGATTTGCCTTTAAACACTTGGCTTTGGGAAACCCCACCCAAGGATAAGCTGATGGGGCCTGCTTCCTCTAGAGGGAAAGCCCTGCCAGGGGCTGGAGGAGCAAGGCAGGATGTGGCCTCAGCCCAGCCCAGCCCAGCCTGCTCCAGGTGGAAGCTCATCCTTGAGCCTGAGCCCCAGCTTTCTCTTTCACGGGACAGATGGAAGAGCCAGGCCCCGGGGCCTCCAGGAGCAATGGTGGCAAGGGCAATTTCCCCCCTCTTGGTTCCTCTCCCTGAGAAGAGCCCATTGGGAAAGAAAAGGTCCACCTCTTGGATGACAAGTTATTTTCCTCAAACTCACCCAGAGGTCAGTGAACTCCTTTCCCCACCCGTACATTCCTGGGGAAGGGACACCTCTCTGGGTGCTTCTCAGGGGCCGATGTTCAGGTTGCTCAAAGATGCACAAAGAAAAACCTCAGGGTCTTGTCAAGTGTGCCCTCCATGGCTTTTTTTTTTTTTTAATTTTTTATTCTTATGTTAATCCCCATACATTACATCATTAGTTTTAGATGTCGTGTTCTATGATTCATTGTTTGTGCATAACACCCAGTGCTCCATGCAGAATGTGCCCTCCTCAATACCCACCACCAGGCTAACCCATCCTCCCACCCCCCCCATGGCTTCTTGACCCCATTGCTGTCCCTCCAACATGGACACAATAAAACCAGTCATGACAACGAAACTGTCCTGGAGATGTACTGTGGGTCAAAGGCTTTACCTTTATGTATAACATTGCATTCAATCTCAAAGAATACAGGTACATGAGGTAGGTACAATACTATCCCCACTTTACAGATGAGGCTCAAAAGACTTAAAACTGAACTATTAAGTGATGGAACCAATACTTAAACCAAGCGCTCTGACCTCAGAGGCTATTTTCTTAACCAGTACACCTTATTACCACCCAAAATATTAGTATTTCTTTCATTTTCAGAGATAGGAGAACAGAAACCTTGAGGACATATTGAAAAAAATCAAGATTCACAGAAGGGAAATTGTCTTCCCTGAAGTTTCAGTTCAAGCGCACAATACATATATCAATAAAGTTTTTATGGTGGGGCCCTGAGAAAAATATACAGCCAGGCACCAAACCCAATCCCGTGCAATTCAGCAAACATTTGCTAAGGGTTTACAGAGCCTCTCTGGGGCAGCTAGGATGGGCAGTTCTCCTTTCATGCAGGAAGAGCTACAGGCTCAGTCCTGTGGGATCCCACACAATCTAATTCTGCAGAGGGTGACCTGAGCCTCAGAACTTTTGGAAAATGGAAGAGGATTAAGACAGTGACAGTACCTAGGGCCTCTGAGTGTCACCTTGGGTTTTGACAGCCCACAAAAAAACCCTGGGAAAAACTTTGGGTGATTGAAGAGGCAATCATACATAGGAGAAGAGGTGAAGACTTAAGAGGTACCTGAAGCTGGAAAATAGTTTGCTGATTCCACCTGACTCTCTCCCTGCAAGCACAGGGTAAGAAGGAATAACAACAACAATAATAGAAGTTATCAGCTCTTGAGTGCTTATTATACGCTCTTCATTGTGGTATATTTAACATATATTATCTCACTAACAGTCAAAAGCTCCAAGTGAAGGAGGCACTATTTTTATCCTCATTTTCCAAAATGCAAAAAGGAGTCTTGGAGAGGTAAATAATTTGCCCAAGAACCCAAAGAAGCAGACCTGGGATTTGGAGAAGGCTCTCCAAGTTCAGTGCTCATGCTCCAGTATGCTATTACTAATCACCTACGCTAACCAAGATGCCCTTGGTGAGAAGGGCAAGAAGGAACACCCCTCTTGAGACCAAGAAGGTATGCACACACATGTACGTGCCTGCCACATGCATATTCTCATATGCATACACACACATGCAGACCCACATATGCACTCATGTATAACCCGTGCACAAACCCATGTGTGCATGTACACACGTGCATGTCTGGGAATGAAGCTGTAACAGTTTTTCAGCCATCACTGTACACTGAGGAGTCTTGGACCTCTCTTTAAGGAGAAAAGAGCCTTTTTCTCTCACAGCATCTGAGAGTGTGTTGAGAAACTGGGTGTTTCATCTCCTGCTCTACTCTCAAAGGTGCATTTTAAGCATCCCTCATAATGTGAGGGGGATAGCAAACTCCAGCTGCATGAAAAGGAGAGCAAAAAAGCATCATGGTACGGTGCTTAAAATGAATTTTATGAGACTCTGAGGCCCAAACCAATTTTTAAAATGGTTTGTTTTGGCTGGCCTGAACCAGTACTCAGAAATTAAAGTCTTTTTAGGCAACCATGCTACTTGCAACCAACTCAAGGGATTGCTCACAAACAGGTTCCCTACTCAAAGGTTAGAGAACTAACAGCTTAAAATCTGGTTTACTCTCAAATTAATCTGCAGATGCTACCGTTCAGAGGGGCTTCTCCTCAAGTTCAATAAGAGATTCTGTTATATTCTCTAGAACATCCTAATTATTACTTCTGCCATCCTGATTTTACTAGGCTGGAAAGATCATTTGATTTTTAGTCCCTAAATAATGTGATATAAAATTAAATAAAAACCCAAGCCACCATCTTGGATTTAGTTTCCATGCAGAGATGTATATTAATAATTAAAACAGCCAGTGATGGCTGGGGCATATTCAAGGTCTTTGGGCTCTTTGGAGGGTCAACCATCCAACTGGTGTGCTCTGACTTCTCTCTCTTGGCTGTGAAAAGAGCACCATTGGACTGACGGCACAGTGGAGCATGGCCCTTAGAGACATGAAGAATCTGGTCTCTGCTATGCCTTTCCCACCAGATCCCTCATCTCTAGCCCCACTGCATGTGCACCAGTTCAGGCCCTCCAAGGTCCCCACAACTCAGATCTGTCTTCCATATCATCACCATTGTTATTTTTCACTCCCCACCCCAACCTCATTCCTTGCATTTCGGCTGTTTGCCAGGCCCTGTGCTTGGGCTGGAGAGACCCAAATGGAAACACCTGATCTGGGTCTGGCCCAGGGAGCTGGCCATCTGGGAGGAGGAGGTTTTCTCTTTGGGCAATCTGATCACCAGCACCACTCCTTTCCTCACTGAATGGGGCCTTCCCTGGCCAGGCAGCCAGGATGTTACATTTCCGCCCTGAGTTCTGGGCGTCCTGCCAGCAGAGCTTCCTCTCCTCCCCTTGGGGGGCTGTGGTGGTATCAGATGACCTGTGAGAGTTCACCCAGCCATTCGAAAAACCCACTTAAATCAAGTAGAAGTGCATAGGAGAGAATGTTTATAAAAGAGTCCCCTGAAAAGTTCAGAAAGGTTCTTAGGGTGCTCATCAGCCCAGAAGTTAGGAATGGTGACCCTTCAGGCTTGTAGGCATGCTTTGTTTGATCTGCAAGGCATTGTTGTTGTTTTAATTTTTTTTTAAGTTTTGTTTATTTAAGTCATCTCTACCCTCAATGTGTGGCTCGAACTCACAACCCCAAGATTAAGAGTCTAATGCTCTTTCCACTAAGTCAGGTACACCAACACTCTTGTTGTTTTAAATGACTTAGTTATCTGTATTCATTCATTCATTTTAAAGGTTTTATTTTTAAGTAATTTCTACACCCAGTGTGGGACTCAAGCTTACAACCCCGAGATCAAGAGTCATATGCTCTACTGACTGAGCCAGCCAGGTGCCACTACTTAGTTGTCAATATTTAAATACATGAGAATGTACATGAACATCCAAACATCTAGCTTTTCTTGAAAAAAGTTAGAAGACTGGCAAAACCAGGCCCAATATCTATGGCTCTACGTGGAGGCAACTGCCAAGAGCTCCACCACATTCTCGTTTTATTTGTTGGTTGATGTCACTCACTAATCCTAAGGGTCTGGTCCCTGATGGCATCTGAGTTTACAATCCCAATATGGTTTAATTCCCTTAGTGTCCCTCTGGAAGAGCCTCACAAATTCCTTTTTGAAGAGTTTTTTAAAGCAGATTGAATTTATTTACTTATTTTTGAGAGAGAGAAAAAGAGAGAGAGAGTGGGTAAGGGGCAGAGGGAGAGGGAGAGAAGAGAATCTTAAGCAGGCATTATACCCAGCACGGAGCTGGACAGGGGCCTTGATCTCACAACCTCGAGATCATGACCTGAGCTGAAATCAAGAGTTAGAACCTCAACTGACTGAGCCACCCAGGTGCCCCAAAGTAGATTGATTTTAAACCATCAATTTAAAAAACAGACTTGGCCACAGCTGGTTAGGAGCTCACTGTGGGAACTGGCAGGAGAACCACAGGACCACGGCAAGTTACTTCTCCACTCAAAGTCATAGTTTTTCTTACCTGTAAAATCAGAACAGTAATGGGATTTGGTGTGGATTAAATGAGATAATACATGTAACTCGACAGCTCAGTGCCCAGAACATAGCAAGTACTTGATAAAAGTTAGTCATTATCTTTATTCTTTGATACCATAGTGGCTTGACTTTTAAATCAACGACTTCCAGGAATATGCAGCAACAGAAATTGCAGCTAAGAAAAGTGCTGCCAGGAGAGAGAACATATATCCAGATCTAAATAGAAGCTTCTAGAGTCTTTTGGGGGCTGGGATCATAGCCCGTCTATTGGATTGTTCAGCTAACTTAATTTTTTCCAGAAATAGTGGTGATGATTTGGTCCCCTCTTTGTCCCCAAATGATCATAGTTCTTACTTAGTCTTAATAGAAATTACTTTAGCCACATGGGAATGTCTGACTCCCAATTTTTAGCAGATTTGGGGGTCTGTAGTGGGAAGTCAACTCGCCTGGTGTTATGAGCTGATTATGTGCCCCCCTCCCTCCATTATACTGAAGCTCTAACCCTTATACCCTCAGAATGTGATTGTATTTGGAGACAGGGTCTTTAAAGAGGTGATTAAGTTAAAATGAGGCCTTTACAGTGAGCCTTAATAGAGATGGACTGGTGTCCTAACAAGAAGAGGGTATTTGGACACATAGGGGCACTGCATACTGAGGGAAGACCATGTAAGGACACATGGAAAAACTGGTCATCTGCAAGACAAGGAGAGCAGTCTCAGAAGAAAGCAAACCTGCTGACACCTTGATCTTGGACTTCTGGCCTCTAGAAGTAAATAGAAATAAATGTCCATTATTTAAGCAGCCCTAGCAAATGAATCCACCTGGGAACCATAGGGTCAAGGCATAAAACAGAAGAGCCTCTGACTTGCAGCTGATGGATGTGGGACAGCGGGCAATCCCAAGAAGCTGGTCGTGGCAGGGTTTGGGACCAGAACCTCCCCTCAGAGCCAGAGAGTGAGAAAGAGCAAGACCAATGATGTAGGACAAAGAAACAGGAGGTGGTCCGGATGGATTCCAGAGACAGAGCCACAGCCCTTGACTGGGATTTTAAATGCTCTTAGCAGGCTGCTTGTATGTGGGGGAGGTTGGTTTGTTTAAAGAGTTTTTGAGTCTGAACTGTCACAGGGCTAAATGTGTTGAAGGCAGAAGGATAAGTGATATCAATTAATTTTTATATTGTTTGATGACCCAGTGTTGTTTTCAATTCAAGAGTGCTTGTGTGATTGGAAACAAACAAGTCTGATGTTTCTCAAGTTTAAAAACCCATTTGGGAGTTTGGCTTGACCCACTACAGAAGTCTGGAAGCTAAAACGCAGACACTGTTTGACTAGACTTTTGGGATGCATCCATAATTTCGCATCAGAGTATTTATATCCCGAAGCCTTCTTTTACCATCATGTGCAAATTTATCTACTTTCCTGGACACAGATGCAAATTTTTAAAGCACCCACAACTCAAAATGACAAAAGATCACTCTGGTGATTTGATAGATGATGGGGACAAAATTATTAATGTGAGTTCCTCCCTTTCTCCCTCCCCTCAGCTTCTAAAGGAATCTGGTTTTAGCTGGCTCCATTTTTCTTCCTTCCTTGCCCTTAAAGGAGAGCTCAGTATTTCCCAGCCTGGTAGGTATTTACAATTCAGACTTTGGGAAATAAATAGAAAGAGACAAGCTGGAAAGGCAAGAGGAATATGCAAGAAAAAACCAAAAGCATATGCTCAGCTGCCTAGATTTTAGATAGATAAGTAGATGGATAGATGAATGGATGGATGGATAGATAGATAGAAATAGAAATCTATTTATCTACCTATCCATTCATCTATCCACCTACCTACCTATATCCATCTACCTACATACCTATCTATCAAAAGACAACAGTGGTTTGAAGCAAGAAATCAAAGATTCATAATGGACAGTCATTGCTTTGTTCTATCCAACAGTGATTCCCATTTATTATGTTAATAGTACCCCTATTTCCTTTTGGGGATACTGTCCTCCATTCCTAGTCTGTGTGATTTAGATAGGGCTATCTCCATTTTTCACCTTCCCTCCTCAAAAGGTAAGCAGAATCCCAATGATGAGTTTGGGATGAGTATATGACAAATGCAAGGTGGTAAAGTTGAACCAATGAGAATGAGCCCTGGGACTTGCCTTAGAATGCTGGAAAAGGAGAACTTTCTCAATGAGTTTGCTAAAATGCTAATATTTAAGCCTGGGGGTACTGGTAGACACCATATGGGAAAAGTTTTTCTGAGAACAAAGCGAGCCGAGAGGAAGACAAAGCTGGGAAATGGAATTCAAGGCAAAATAAAAACTCCCGGACTTCACAGTTTTGTGAGAAAATTGGATCTTTTGTTGAACACTACTTTGAATTGGAATTCTGTCATTCTGAAGAGTACTGACTAGAACAGAGGGACCCCAAGAGGAGCAGCTGCCGGGGACAGAAAAAGGAAGTTCTATTGAGGCTTGTCAAGAATTAAAAGTAAGGATGGGAATTCCTTCTGGTGATTTTTAGAATGTGGACTGTGTTTCTGTGCCTATGACATTTCACCAAGACTGGACCAAGTGTGGCCCCAGAATTCTGTAGAGTCCGTCACAACAGGACTCATAAAATTAGCAAATGCCATTGTTGGAAGAGATCCTAGAAGACACCTGGTCCTGTTCTCTACTTAATACTTGCATCTCTTTAAGCATCTTGAAAAACAACTCACTTTGACTCTATTTGCACACTTCAGGGGATAAGGAAATCACTCCCATAGAGGTAGCTGGAATTGTGTTCCCCAAAAAGATATGTTGAAATCCTAACCCCTGACACCTCAGAATATGACCCTATATATGAAATAGGGCCTTTGCAGATATAACCAAGGTAGGATGAGGTTGTGAGTGTAGACCCTAATCCAGTATGGCTGGTGTCCTTACAAGAAGAGAAGGGGCCCTTACAAGGGGTGCCTGGGTGGCTCAGTTGGTTAAGCGTCTGCCTTCGGCTCAGGTCCTGATCCCAGGGTCCTGGGATCGAGCCCCTCATAGGGCTCCCTGCTCAGCAGGGAGTCTGCTTCTCCTTCTCCCTCTCCCCCTGCTTGTGTGCTCTCTCTCTGTCAAATAAATAAAATCTTAAAAAAAGAAGAAGAAGAAGAGAAGGCCACATGAAGACAGAGGCAGAGATGAGAGGTATGTTGCCAGAAGCTGGGAGAGGCCAGGAAGGATCTGTCCCTAGAGACTTCAGAGAGACTGTAGCCCTGACAACACCTTGATTTGGGACTTCTGGCTTCCAAAACCATGAGAGAAAACATTTCAACCCAGGAAAAAAATGGTTGTTTTAAGCCACCCAGTTTGTGGTACTTCATTATGGCAGCCCTGGGAAACTAATACACAGCCCGTTCCATTTTTATCAAGTTCCATGTTGGAATGTACTCCTTGATACTGAGCTAAAACTTAACTCAGCACAACTACTGGTCCTAGCTCAGCCTTCTGGAGTCAAACACACTCTTATTTCTGCCTTGAGGAAACAGCCTTTAAGTATTCCAGGCTGCAATTATGTCCCAGTCAGAGGTCTCTTTGTTTATGCTCCTGGACCATTCATATCCTGGTGCCTCCCAAAGTCTGGTTATGATAACCATGGAGCCTTTCCCTATTTCTTCAGCAGCCACCACAACTCCATTATTCAAAACATCCTTAGTACCTTCTTCTTTGAGATGTGAGCTAACAAGGCTTTGGGATAAACTGCAACCCAGCATTCAGGGAGGCACTTGCTACCACTGAGAATCCTCCCAAGTGACACTTTTTCATCATCATCTTAAAGAAATATGGTGGTGGTTAAGACATGATGAGAAGCTGTTGAAGAAAGAAGCGAAACCCTGAGACATGGAGAGAAGGTTGCCAAAAGGCAACATTTAAAAAAATATCCTGGCTCCTTTCCCAACTGGGGATGCAGGAATGTTTCTCTCGAAGCTGGTCCCACCCCAAGCTGTGCTTCCAGACCCCCTCCCCCCCCCCCCCCCCCCCCCCGGCAGGAACAGAGGGAAAGGGGAACTATTCTCAGGGAATCCATATCCCTGGGCCTTAACTCAGAGGAAGTCCCCGTTAACCAAAGATAAAGTCCTACATTAGTGGAAAACAAATTACTCAGTGCTGAGGGGAAATTTGGAAAACAAAGAGAAAGCCTTTGAACATCGTCTTCTTATTTTTTCTCCAAGAATAAAAATATTACCACAGACTCACAGGATTCTGGGCACACGCTGATCTCACAACAGACAAAATGCAAGGTGTTCTGACAAATGTGCCAATTTCTGGCAACGTCACTGACTCCGACGTACACTCCCACATTCGAATGACTTGTAGCTTTGGTCTGATGCCTAGTGGGGTAAAGAGAAGCTGCCTTTGTCCTATTTAGCCAGGGATC